TGCTAATGTAGACTGCAGTACATATTCATTCGATAAAGCTCAACGGGTCTCTCCCAAAGCTCTAAATATATCGAGTTTACGCAGTACAGATTGCTATCTAAAGCTTAATCCCAGAACTCTCGTCTTCTCTGCCGAAGCGCATGCGCACAACTTTATCGCCTTTGCATTCCTATCACGAATCGTGACCGAAGTCAATCACACCGTTTGCCGTAAAAGACAGCGACAGAGAGATAGTTTATTTGACAAGGCTGCTGTCAATGGACTCTGAAGTGATGCGCATACAATCCACCGCAGTATCCAAGCATCCAAAGTGCGCCCAACTCACATCTGGGAGCAATCGGTAACTCGTGTGTGTGTGTTCGGTAAGCATTGCGGATCTGGGGCTTTGACTTGTACGTGAAGCGGAAGGCGTGACACACAGACCTAACGTCACGATCGACCTACGCGCCGAAACAAAGTGGAACTTGAGATGGATGGTTTCATCGCAAGATTTAAATATTGTGAATAGGTTGAATATTTGCTAAACCTACTACTACTACTTGTAGTCTCAGCGTCTTAGAGTTAGCAGGTCTAGCATCACGGATAAAATCATTAGCTAGACCCTGCGTATGAATAGTCATTTCCGCACATTTCCACTCCTCCTTGTGCTTATTTTGGTCTTTCCCACCGTGTACCCTATAAACATGACACAAAGACATATTCTACGGTAATCTATATGGACTTAACTGCATAACATACGAACTGTGACACAAGCTTATACGTTTAGCGGCCAGTCAACAGCACAGACAGGATATCTTGTGACAGAGGCAGACACTCTATACAATCAATAAGAGACGAAGACTGTGACGGAAGTCGGTATGCCTAGTTGCCAGTCTCGAGCACAAGCCGTCTGAAACTAACAGGAAAACGGAGGATGTAGCACTTCGTATGGCGGTTAAAACACCAGACAACCAATCAGATGCACAGACCGTCCACGGGCAGCAGACCGCTGTTTGGTCGGACGAAGGAACATGTCAGACCCAAAGGCAATCAGCATCGCCAGGGGTTAGAATGAGAGCGCAAGTATCAAGGCCACAGACCACCAATAACCTGCCGAAGGGCAGAGACGCATGCACAGCCAAGCAACATTGCCAGTGCGAGCAAGCAGCGCTTAAACGCAAATGACGCAATGTCGAGGAATGCGAAACAATGAATGCAAACGCATGGAGAGCACGAAAGCCAGTGAGATGCGACAGAGAAAATAATAATATTTAATATACAACAAAGCACGGCCCACCGATAAAGACTTTCGTGTCGCTGCAGTCTTTGTTCTGCTTAACGGAGCGCCGCTCGTTTTACAGCAGCCGAACTCACATTTTAAAATGTCGACCCATCAGTATATGATAACTCACCAGTCATTAAGCGTCAGTTCCCAAAGCGCAAACGACTAATCTAGACCTCGAAAACCTCTCAGCTCCATATTTCCATAAAGATACCGTATATAAATGGGAAGTAAATAATAACCTTATATCCTTACTGACAGACAGAATCACATCGTTGGGGAGGCAGTCAAATGAGCAAAATGTGGAACATCTGCGGTTGGACTCTGTCGGTGGCAGCCTGATGACTATTTCCTATCTAACCGACCCGCCATCCAACGCAGTATGCAGGCACATAAATGGGGCTATGAACTTTAATGATATTCCGCCTAAGATAACTAAAAGATGCAAGCATATTAAAAAAGCTATTGCCGTCAATATACCGGAAAAGGCATCAGCAGGACGCCGGTACACAGTACCGACGCTTCGCTGTCGTGCAACAATCACCAGTCGCATGTGAGCTAAGAATACTGCGAGGGTCACCCGGTCCCTATGCAGGCTTGAACCCGCGTCCTCGGAGTGCAAGGCAAGCTTGTGATCCTTAACACTACGGGACGGAAAACTTGCTGGACGATATTCAGTTTGCCGCTATCAGGAAAACTGCTGCAAAGACCTGCGAAATATCGGTAAAATATGTTAACAGGAATAGATGAGAGAAAAAGGACTGCATCGTGTATGCTCTACATTTTTTCGACTTAGTAGCGGGTAATTTGCTGGCATGTTAGTAGTATATCAAACGACTGTAAGGTCTAACCTGAGAGTTTTAAAAGGAGATGATTTGTGAAGGCAGAACCTCCCTCCAACGTGAACTTCATCTTGCTAAATGGACCGGTAAGGGATTAAAACTCAAGAAAAACAACTACACTTAATCGTGGCTGTGTGGGATAGATTGCATCGGTCATATATGCAGCACCGTCGACTTAGATCATTCAGCAACCACCAGTGACTCTCCATCTGCTACAGAGGTAAATGTGAGAGCGTTACCGACGGGGTCGATGTACTAACCGGTCCACAAGACGTCGTTCCTCACTCAAATGCAGAGCAAGCACCTTCTGTAGACGCAGTCTGCAATTTGTTCACTCAGTAAGCATGACAGATTTCTGTTAAAAAACATCTGTTGAATCCAGGCCGGTGAAAGAACCATCACCGTCTGCGTGGAATTGAGGAGAGTGTGATTAATGCATCAAAAGTGACGCCCATATCCAGTTACACAAGATAAAGGCTTCATTAATTATTGAAAACCGCGGTCCTTCCCGAAAGCAGTTAATTTTGAACGAAATTTCCTATGTTGCTGGGATGAAAGCCCACAGTCATACAATGGCTAAGAATGGCAACGGTCCACCGGCAACGTCAATCTCATGATACGCAGAAGAAGCTTGCAGGGACTCTAGCCGTTAGGTCTTCAATTTCCACTGCCTCTCCCCAATCTTCTTCAACGCTTCTGAGTGACCTCACAATGCTACTCTTCCGCATAGGTTAAGCTCTCAGGAAACTATCCATTTGTTGGAATTGTTGCACTTATTCCGCCTCCTGATCTACCATCAACTGAGACAACAAATATCACTGTGAAGAAATAGCTGTAATTAATATGGGCTCAAATTCTACCGAGTATTGTGGCTCAAAACTGAGTCGGAAGGTTAATCGACTGTAGTTAGTTAATATACGATAACTGTTAACTTTACCATACTTTCGTGTAGCTAAATAAGCCTGACCTTGTTTTGCTTTCTGAAGTGTGGTGCAGCACAAATATCGCAAAGCAAATGAGTCCGACTGATAAATGAAGTTGGTTAGAATTGATCTGAAAGTAGGTAAGTATGGGTGGTTATTACACTGCTTCCAACTCATATACCGGTACACGCTTCGGTAACTCATACATAATCGTAGATAGTATGATAGCAGTGCATACGTCCCATTCAATCCAATACATCAATGAAGTTGCAAATATTAAAAGCCATCAGCAAGCCAAAGAAGGTAGAGCTGCGAAGTGCGAGATTCAGTACACTTCAAAGCAAAAAACGCAAGATCATTCATTCACAGTACACGTTAGCTGCAGGTAGAAAACACCTCAGCTATTGTGACTAAAAAAAGTAAAAACATAACAGACATGCCGGCCAAGTCAACGGTAACAGATGGACATCGTTCCGGAGAGTTAACAGCCGGCTAAGTGCAACAAAAAACGGTTACATTATGCTTACAAAATGAAATCGTGCTTGGCGACGGAGGCTAAGCGGGAGGGGGAGGGACCAAGAAACCCACAGGAAAAACGCCATTGAGATCGGATCCTAGCCATGCCTACAAAAGTATCCAGCCAAGTGTGTTCATCATCTTTCGGCCCTCAATCACGGAGCCGAAAGCCTCCAACCAAACCAAATTCGAGGTTAAGGCCTTCATTCCTCTTGACCAATTCATCGCTTGGCCACCGCGCCTCTTCTTCCAGTCACCTTCCCGGCGCGTAAGAAACGCAAGTCGATTGAGTAGTGAGTTGGCATGCGCAACAAGTTGCCGAGCCATCGGAGCCTGGTGCGTGATAAACCAGTCCGATCGCTTCATTTCTTTTTCCTGTGCCATAAACGGCGTCGAACACACTCATTGCTCACACAGTGTTCCCACCAGATATGAGCCAAACTGCGAAGGCATCAGTGGTCGAACCTAAATAGCCACTTTATATGCGCTGATCTAATGACGCAGGTTTCACAACCGCACAGTAGGGTCGAACGTACGGCTGCATTGTACACTACCCCTCAGGGAGAGAGCCAAGTAGCGCCGGCACCATAGGTGGCATAGGTTCGCAAAAACGCATGGTGCTTTTGCTATACCGTTTGTGATCTCGTCTTCGATCCCAACAGCGTTGATACAACTACCTAGGTAGTTGAACATTTGAACGACTTCTAGCTGATGCCCACCAAGGGTCAGCGCAGGAGGCAAACTCTGACAACCTTGGAGGGAAACTTTGCACTTCAAGGGAGCAAAGCATAGCCCGAAACGACTGACAACCAGTGCTTATATGTCTAGTGCTGTTTGGCAAGTTTGGGAGCTAAAATAGATATGGGCAATGTCGTGAGCATACCAGAGCAAGAAACCGTTCACGTGGGAGCAGCTCCACACCCTCTAAATCGTGTCCTGTGAACGTGATTTCCATGGCTTCGTCAAAAGTGAAGTTGAAGAGGAAAGGTGACGACGTGCATCCTGGTCATACACCGCTGGATATACTGAAGGGGGCGACAGCTTGCTGTAAGCCTTCAATCTGCCCGAGCTACACGCGTGTAGCGCTCGGATAATATTTACATATTTCTCAGTGACATCTTTCCTTAGCAGACAGTCTCCAGGGCACGTCGATCCATTGAATCGAAGGCACCTTTGATATCGAGGAACAAGACAACAGTGGACCAAAAATATACGTGACGGTGCTCCAACAATTGCAAATATGTGGTCAGTGCATCCCGATCATGACGAAACTCGCCTTGCTTCTCACGAATCTGGCTTTCAGGATCGCCAGTAAGTCTGTGAAGGATTATGGAGGCAAGTAATTTGGTGGCGATAGCAATCAGACTGATTCCCCTATGGTTGCCGCATCCCGAAAGAGCCTCCTTTGAAGATGGGATCAATAACGGAGCGGCTCCAGTCGGGTCCGTCGCAACGAGACTGGACCTTAACGTGGTGCGACGGTTTGCGTACCTCATTGACCCATTGAGCTATACTGGGTGATGCCTCCGAGCATCTTGAGAGCTACTCCTACCAGGTTGGTCAATGGTGAGAGGTCAGACAAACTCAGTCTCCTGGTCCTCCAGGTTGGGGGTTTGAAATGGGATGGCGTCCATTTCTGTAAAACTAAATCACTGCCACCCCGCTGCCTTGCGGACAGGCTTTTGAGCCAAAGGCTTTGGATGAGGACCCTAATCGTTCTCCTGTCTAGGTCTGGGCGCCCTGGCAGTATCCCAGCCCACATACAACCATGACATTTTCTTCAAACATAAACTTCATCCTGCATCGGCCGTCGCGCAGATTATCAAGGGTCGCCTTATCTGCTGCATACAGCAGGGCGGATAAGCGAAAACATGCTACTGCTGGCGCCTCCCTTCTTTCTTTTCCACCTTTTTCTCTTACTCCCATCCCGGCCCCCATTACTAACCTTCCTTCTATAATTCCCAGCTTAATTGACAGCAACCGAAGTGCTACTGGAGTAGAACCATCTGCAGCCACCATCCCACAGCACCTATCGGACGCCTATCGGCAAAAGTCCCTTATAAGGCCACGCTGTCCCGTTTCCATGGCGACATTCAACGTCCGCACTCTAAGACAAACAGGTCAGCAGGCTGCACTCGCACGCACCTTGGACACACTGGGTGTTGATGTGTGTTGTGTGTCCGAAACAGGATTAATGACCCTAACGGGGTTATTGAATTGACTGCACCCGGCTTATCCTCTCGTTATTGGTTGCACGCATCCGGAGACGCCGATGCGGCACTCACGGGTCAAGCTGGTGTAGGTATCATTCTCAGCTCCAAGGCTGAGTCATCGTTGGTTGATTGGATTCCGGTGAACAGCCGTTTATGTGCAGCCCGTTTGACGACATCAGCTAAGGTGAATTCGCGAAGTAAAACAAAACGCTGTTTGTTTGTGATTTCTGCTTATGCTCCCACGGACTGCAGTTCTAATGCAGTCAAGGACACTTTCTATCACGAACTGAACGCGGGCGCTGCTACGCAGTAGCCTAGAACATTATGGTTTCAGATATTAATAGTTAACTTGCAGGTGGAGATGAACGCAGCAAGTAGGAGGAGCCCATCCACCACTAAATACACCGTACCATGGCAACTCCTCTCTT